TCCCTTGCTATCCCACAGTTTAAAAAAGCTCCCTCTGATTGCTCTCAGGGTCTTCGGGCCGGTCCTTACCCTAAGCAATGCCGCCCGCTCCTCTCCGTTCCACCCCCGCTTGTTGCTGGCGGGTGCGGGCGTCTGGGGTACCTTTCTGCTGGGAGTTGCTTTTAGGCACTTAATCTGTGGGCCTTGTTTAATTTTTCCTCCCAGTTAGATTGCCGAAAACTTCCCCCAGTCCCGCCAGTGCGAGGGTTTCCTGGTGATTGGAAACTTCCTCTATTAAGACTCCCTTCCCGGGACGTGTCTCCGTCCGTAGCTCTTTTGACTCCCTTTTTATCTTTTATATTTTGTCCTACCTCCCTTCGAAGACAATGGGCTGCTTTTCTGGGGGCCTGATGTCCTCTGCTAGCGATCCGAAGTTGTTTTGTGAAATTTGCTCAGCGTTCAAATGTTCTTTCGATGAATTTGTAGGGGATAGAGTGGTCTCTCCGTCCTATTCCTCCGCCATCTTGGCTCTTCCCCCTACCAATGTCTTTGAAAGGGTTCTTTACTCATTTACTAAACACTTAATTGCGGTCCTCTTACTTTGTGGCAAACTTCATGCTATAAAACAGAGTATAGAAATAGTCCTTCCTTCTAGTTGAGGAAATGAGGCCTGAGGGAAAGCAGAGTAGACCACCACTCGTGATAAGAGCCGATAGGAAACGAGCAAGACAGAGAGAAAACAGAGGCCCTGCCGTGGACAGTGGGCAGGGGGCCTTTCTGAGGACACACAGCTCAGGACAGGATCTGAAGCGTGAGAAGGCGCCCTGGGAAGGGGGAATGGCCGAGGGGAGAGACTGTGCAAGGGCTCTGTGGAAGGATGGCCTCGCCCATTCAAGGAGCTAAAAGGACTCTGTGGTCAAAGTGCAGTGGGCAGAAGGAAGGCCAGGACGGTGTGGGGATGCCACAGAGACAGGGTCACGTGCTCCATAGCTTGGAGCTTAGAATTTATTCTGAATTTGGTGAACAGCAAATTGCAGGACTTTTAGAGAGGAGTAAGAAAATAGCCGGTGCGGGTGTGTGGAGAAGGAAACAAGAGAAGCAGGAGCAAAAGCAGAAAGAGCAATTGAGAAAGGATGGCTCATGATCTTC